ATATATATACAAGTGTAAATAATAACAAAGACAAGGGGTCAGGTGACAGATAAGACAAGACAAATGACACAAGACAAAACAAATGACACAAGACAAAACAAATGACAGATAAGGCATGAATAAATTTGTCATTATTCACGCCTGATACACACATATATATATGTGTAGCGTGGAATATATCACGAACGTAAACAGTGACACGTAACAGTATTACAAGCGGCGACAACTACAGTTTATTCTAAATACAGATAACACACCAGTAAAAAACAATGTATAACATACCGGTTAGAGTTGCCGTCGTCTCTCTCGTCTCTACCAAAACCGCGCCTTTTTAAGCCATGATCTTTCCTTCCGCGACCTTTTTCGACTTCATTAGCATATATCGCAAGTAATGGATAAAGTGACCGGTCGCGACTCTAGTGTGTTAATTGTGGACCATGTACCGCCGCCGACTATCTCAGACGTTGCCTGCCCAATGATGTCGTTTTGCAGACTGCAAAGCATTTTTTGTGAAGTTAATGTGCTTCGCGACTTACGCGGCCGTCTTCCTTTTTCCGGGTCAGAGGTTATGGGTCGGAGGCCACGGTGCGGGCCGTGTGACGTCACGCAGCGTAGCAAGGCTGTGTAGCCGCTTATAGATGCTAGCTGGGTGCCAAGCGCAAATACAGCGGGTATTACATATATATATATATATATATATATATATGTAATACGGCGTTTCAACGTAGGCATAGAGACATAGAGAGTTGGAATACGTTAGAGATGCAGATTTACGGGGACAATCGGAGTTGGATACAGAGTACATTGGCCACATCGTTAAATGCTCGTTGGCCGCACAAGTTCGCTGCCAATCGTATACGCACGCGCCCGTCTACGGCGTGACGTTAGAAAGTCCGGCCCCCGCCTTCCACGGACACGCGCTAGTGCCAATATAACGGGGTCCTTCTCATTCTTCTATTATATTATACGTTCAGCACGATTGCTCTCTTTGCACACGGTCGTTTGTAGAAGGCGGGGACTTGAAATACCCGGGGGCCATTCGCCATCAACCAGTAAGAATAGCCCCACGTGCGTCACATCGTGGGCGGTGTGGGGGGAAGCGGATGGCATAAAGGAGGTGGGAAGCGGTCGGATAGCCAGTACAACGACGAGTCGAAACGTCAGCGGATTGCGCTAGACATATCTACACGATGTAAGTAGAAGCTGTGATCTAGGCTCTCTCTCTCTCTCTCTCTCTCTCTCTCTCTCTCTCTCTCTCTCTCTCTCTCTCTCTC